TCACCAGTCAGCTGAGTGGTCTTACGGCTCACACTCCCCTAAAAGGCTGCCCATGTATTTCCCCCCTCACCTCAAGCTACCAGTTCCAACCGCTTCCCCTGTACCGTGTGGATCCTCTGTCCACTTGCTGAGCCAAACCACCTCACTAGGCAGGCAGCCAGCCTTCCCACCGCTCCGGTGAGCTTGCTCAGTGTGCCAGGAGGTGAGCCGAGAGCCAGACCTGGCACGAGGGAGGAAATGGGAATGCACTGCTGGAGACAGAGGGTGGGAGGATCAAGGATGGGTTTCTCCAGGGCAGCAAGCTATTCCGCTGGCTGAGAGGAGTCAAGGAACTTCACCCTCTTGTCATAAAACCTCTTTAAAAAAATGGGAGTTATCAGACAAATGATCGGAAATTTCAAGGGGAGCCAATTATGATAAAACTCAGGAAAAAAAAAAAAAAAGTGTTTTGTTTTTTTTTTTTTTTTAATTGGCAAGAGTGACCAACGCAAACCCATATTATTCACAAAGTCTGCATGCATTTACGCAGTGAGATTTGGGATCTCTGTTAGTTTCCTTCACATTTCTGGAGCTGCATGCAAGTCAGCTTCCTCAGCAACAAGGAGGATTAGGTTTTAAAAAAACAGAAAGGAGAGATCTGAACTTCTCACGTTATGTCTTGACTCTAACACTTGAAGCTTTACAAAGGGGGCTAAATATCATGAGACTACTGATAAAAGTCAGGAGAGTTGGCAGTTCTGCAGACATTTATGGGCTTGGTAACACATTTTTCTGGTTTTAAGTGAAAACAGACAAAACAGTGCACATGCTAGAATAATGAACATCTTGGCACATTGCAATTACAATACTGGAACAGATCACTGTTCTGTTTTTATGGATGCTTTTGAGAAAAACAATCCCTATGTTCAGCTCCCTGTTACATTTATTCTCCAGAATTCTATTGCCAAAGGCTTTCCCATCTTCTCTGTGGGCTTTCCAAACAGAATTTGCCTTCTGTAAAGCACCACAAAAATGCAGCTGCTGTGGAGCAGCTCCTCTCTTTGCTAAGGTGGGTTAGAGTCACATCATAGACAAACGACGACATGCAGTACTATAATTACACTCAGACAGCATCAGAAGAGATTTTTTTTTACAACATAAAATTATTGACTTGCAGTATTTTGTTTCCATTTAGAAACTCTATGAAATATTTTGTGGATAATCTAGCACTCATCTATAAAACAGTTTGGATTCCCATAACATGGTAACACATCTAGAAGTCTTCCAGAATGTAAAGGTGGTACCATCACACTAGCCTGTGATAAAATTGGTGAAAAGGGGTATTTTTTGTCTGGAGTTCCAGCAATATTATCAACTTTGCAGGGAGCTATAAAAGTTGCAATGTAGAATTATAGTCAATTGTAAGTTAATTTTTACTATAAAATAAATCCAAAGAAAATTTTAAGAAAGTCATGATAAAATCTTGAGTAAAAAGGTCAACTATTACAAAAATGTTTCACTGTAACCAAATCACCAGTGATGGTTAAGGCTGGGAAGGCTCAGAGCTCCAGGATTAGTGGAGCACACACAGTAACAAAGGCTTACCAAACCTTTTAAGCAGATTCTGAAAGTGGGAATTAAAGTTCTGGGAAATCACTGATACCAAATCTGCTGTGTGCAATGCATAAACCAGAAGATGAAACAAGTATTAGTTTTCTCAGAAAATAAAAGTCTTAAAACATCAGAAATTAAAAAGGAATTAATCTCACCAGTTAACAATAAATTCTGAGAATGAACAAACAATACCAAAGCAAAGATCTTGCAGGGGCTCTCAAAAGGAGTCTACTGACATAACTGAAATATGCTAAAATACTTCAGCTAAAAGGTGTCTGGTTTGGCAATCCACAGACTCCTGTGTTGCATTCTGAGGTGGCACTGATGAAGGCCTTGAGTCTTTCCACTTTAGAATATCCTCTTCAAGCACATGACAGCGTTGAACGTGCGCTGCTTGGGAAGGACAACAGTAGAGTTACTGCGCTCTGATCACATGGAAACGTGAATTAGTGTTAGGGCAAGAGAAGTGAAAGACAAAAAAAAAAAAGAGGGGGGAAGGGGGGAATATTATGCTGCTGGTCTAGCTGGGAAGGCAGAGTGATGATTTAGGACTTGTTAAAGGGAGAAGCAGTCTGACTTGCTGCCACTACTGGGGCACAGCAAAGGGGACTGTATCGCCTCCCACTCCCTTCTTCTGCTGCTTTCCATACGTGTAGCTGCGTAGGGACAAGGTCTACAGGTAATCGCAGTGCTGGGACAGCAGCAACTCAATGGATTATTCACTATGTACATACAGCCCCCCTACTCCATCTGTAGCCCCCTTACAGCAGCTCTACCTGTGGCAGAGGTGTTAGGAAAATCTGGTATGAGAAAGACAACTGCTGGGGGTCACGTGTGTCACGTAGCTCTTGTGAGCTGTGCTATTCAGTGCCTTCTAATTTAATATCCTCAAAGCCTCCTAAAACAGCAGTTAAAATTTAAACAGGCATTCTGAAAACACACTCTTGATCCCATTATCAGTGTCGTGGATGGGATTACAATGAGGGTGGTAATGGTGGAAATTTTTTGGAGAGATCTAGTATCAACAGCAGGAGTGGCCACTAATTGGATTCTTTCTGTGTCACCGCAGAGTTGTCACGGGACCCTCATTCTCTGTTGAACACTGCTGCTCTCAAGGCACTCAGAAAGGAGCTTTCTCAATTGTTGTCGCATCAGTCTGCCTTCCCACTCAAACACAAATCCCCCAAAGCCCTTTCTAAAGTTAAGGAAATCACGGAACCCACGACTCCCATGACATCTGTGACAAGTGTCCAGCCTCATCTGGGTAAGAATGAGTCCTGCCATTACAGAAGGCTCGAACTCCTGATCCTGCAAGAGCATACAACATTGAGTGCAGTATGTAAGTTAAACAAAGCTAGATAATAAACTGCAAACTCTCAAAATAGTCTGCAGTAAAGTGATCTAGTCAGAACAGAATTTGCAAATCTTTCAAAATATTTTTTTCCATAGCTGCCTAACTTCCACTGACTGTGGGTTTTATAATGGCTTCCACATTTGGAAACATTGTCCCTAGCATCACAACATTTTTAATAAACTGTTTTTATCAGTTCCTGACTGGAATGAGAGCTGTTACAATAATTTTCACACTGCTACTTGCCATCTCTAGGATACTTCTAGATGCCTGCATGCATTTTTCTTCCCTAATGACCTCTCATTTAGCCTACTTTTTGAAGATGCATTTACACACCATTCGGAAATTCACCAAGTTGAGGGTTTTTTGCAATGTGAAATTACACCAATCATATTTTTTTTTTCCCTCTAAAGTGGAGAAAAAAATCAATGAAAGGCCAAGGAGACATGACAAGCAGCAGAAATTGAAGTTGTGATGGGACAAGCACACCCACCTCAATTATAAAGTGCTAAGAAGAGGAAGCCCCTGACAAGCAATAAACTGACACATAATTAAGACAATTCAGGGCAGAACACATTCTGGCTGGAAAACATTTTCCTGTGCTCTGTCTCACTGCTTGGAGCAGCAAGGACAAAAAAAAAAAAAAAAAAAAGGTGGCACTTTGAAAATAACTCTGTGAAGATAATCAGTACACCACCTAGTCTTCATTAGCTGCGGGAAAAAGAAACCCACCAGCTTTTGTGTTCAGCGCAGATTCCCTCACATCACAAACACAGTTGATAGTACAGACATGCCTGGTATGTTCAGCATTCCATATCAAGCAAAGATGAATTGGCCTCAACAAAAAAATGTATTACAGCTTTCATGCAGCAGTTTATGGATCTTTTTGTACCTCTGGAATTTTTCACCTTGAGTGTATCATGGATCTGCTGAGGTTTGTACTGGCCTCAGATCTTTTCCTCAGATTATTTTTATCTCACTGTGAGGAACATCTTTGTGAGTTCTGAACACTTTTGCAGCTGCTAGGATGCTAATGGGAACTTCATGTGTGTACCCAGTACAAGTGCTCTCAGGGAAAAAAAAGCCAATGTCAAAGGAAGGTATGTAGAAGTCACCATAAATATGTCTTTGAATGTTTACCATCTGGAACAGTAGATTACATTTTGACAAGAAGCTGGACTGCCCCGTGGGCATTGTCTTTTAAACAGCCCCATCATTATAAAGGAAGGAAAAACATGATTTGCTGTTCCTAGTTTCTCAGCAAGATTTTCTGGCAGTGCTAGAGAAACTCGTTTTTTTTTCCTAGTAAAACAATAACAAGCTGGGCATGTGTAGTTAGCTATGCACTTTCTTGAAAAATGTGTTTTCTTGTAGATCATCTGATCTGTGATCTGATGATACCCGCAGAGAGGGATGCGTTTCAGTTAGGCTGTGACAGCAGCAGACTCTGCAAATCACAGTCCTGCACCTCAGCTTTGCTGGAAGGCTGAACCTCTGTGCACCGAAGCTGGCTTATTGGGCTTCTCACAGGGCACACTGGGAAGAGGGAAGAGGAGAAATCCAATATACAAGATGTTAACATAGAGTCCTACTGAGGATTTCCTTCAGTTTTGCTTTTCATTTTTAAGCTTGTAAAAGTTTCCATCAGTTTTTACAATGAGAAAGAGTGGGCTGAGAGAAAAATCAAAATGGTTAAATTTAGTCACATATGTCCCGGTCTGGTCATGCAGTCATATTAGGGATTTAGCTAATTCTCTGTTTCAAATTGCTGTGGGTCACTTCTGAGGACACATTCTTACTGAAGAGTCTGTTTGAAAAAACAAGCTGAGAACAACCTGTAAAGAGGCCAAGTAGCCTGCTCAAAAAAAAAAGTTAACAAAAAAAGTTGGTTTGAGGCAAAAATATATGTGCAGCCTGAAACATGGGTTTATGGGCATCGTTACACAGTTGAATGCCAAAATCACAAAGCACCAGCTATAAATCCCCTCGCTCAGCCTACTAAATAGATCTTATTTCAGAACACATTATATACAGTATTATTTATAGAATATCTCACCTGTAAATGGTGAGGACAGTGTTAGATTTCTTTCACAAGTAGGAGGCCAATAATTCATAAGCACCACAGGTATGTGAGAGTTAGTGTGAAGATCTGTTATAGTGTGAAAGAAACAAATTGTTTTGTTACTCTGCACAGGAAGATGGTGTATATATACACACAGTAAATCTTTTATTAAAAAAGAAAAAAAAAGAAAAAAAAAAGGAAAATAACCCATGCTCTAGTTTCTCCATCTAGATCATTGAGAGTAAGACAATGAGAACATGTTAATTCTCTGATAAACTAACATGTTGTAATTAGTGATAACATTTCTGACTTCTTAGTTAATTTGCTGGGCTTCCCACACTCGAGACATCAATGAATTTAATAGCAGAATTAAATGAAAATGATAGCAGAGTACTTCCATAACTAATTTCTAATTACATTTCTGCCTCTCTTCCTTCCTAAACATAAATTTTTGCTTACTTTTAATTAACACCTCAGATCGCTAGTTTAGATTCTATAAATAAAGCGAGACTTTAATGATCCATTATAGTGATGTTACTTAGTTTTCAATGACTTGTAAAACTTTCACAAACAGATCTGCAAATGAATTACATCCATCTGCTCTGCTGCAGCTGCAAGGAGCAGCACCACGTCGTACCCTGCCTTTCCCCCTCCTTCCCTGATTTTCTCTTAACTCTAAGCCCATGTGTAAGCCAAGCCACCTCGACGCCGATCATCAGAAGCCCAGCCAGGTCTCTGTGAAGGAGCCTTCAAACTTTACAGACGCCTCCACTGCACTTTCAAACCAGCCCGGTTTGCCTGCTAGCTGAGCCGCGGGCAGGCTGCGCACCGCTCCAGCATCCTCCTCAAAACCTAGGGAACACTCCGCCGCCGCGATTCCTTCCCCCGCCCGACCGCGCCGTTTCCACGGATCCGTTGGAACACGGAGGCATTTGCACCCGCGGACACGGCTCGCCCGGTACCGGAGGTCCCGGCCGCCCCCACGTGTGAGCGGTGCCTGCCGTGGGGGGGGGGGGGGGGGGGGGGGGGCGGGGAGAGGAGGCACCCGGCGGGCCGGGAGGCACCGCTCCAGGAGAGGTTTGCTCATCTACACCTTCACAAGCGTGACCTTGGCTGCGTTAGGGGTGTTAAGCTCCATGAAGACAGCCCAGCATCAGGCTGGGCTCGCTGTTATCTGTCAGCCGTACAATAGCAGCATTGATAAGGCAGCAGCAACTGGCTTTGACAAGTGTGCTGTGCTAGCATTCCTCGGAAAATCGTGAAGGAAAAAGAAAAAAAAAAAAAAAAAAAAAAAGAGAGAGAGAGAGAGTGAGAGAGAAAAGAGAGAGGAGAGAGAGAGAGAGAGAGAGAGAGAGAGAGGCATGAGGTGCCTTTTACTTTACCTGGACAAAGTGTGGGGTTTTATTTTTCCCTCTGAGCTGCTGGAAACGGTTCCTCCCTCTTCTCCCCCAAAGCTAGGTGGTTCTTCTTTTGCTTGCAGCTCACACTTGGGGAAGACCACACAGCTCCAGCAAGGCTGCCTCTCTCCCCTAATCCCCACTCGAGTGTGATGACACACACTAACCCCAACCATCTGTTGAAACACGTCCTCAAGCACTCAGCACAGTGGTGTGTCAAGACGGGCTGCCCAATCCAATCGCTGGGGCTGGGTGGCTCTTAAGGAGCTGGAGGCAGAGACAAGGGCAGAAACTATAGGGCTGAGAACTCTTTAGCAAAGTAACCTGAGATTTTGCGAAAGGGCTGCTATTGAAAAAAAGAGCAGAAGGGGGAGGTACTAGCGGGAAGGTAGAGGGAGTGGATTAGTCTGGTGGCCAGTTGTGTTACTTCTCACAACTCCTTGTATTCCCAAGGGACCACTGGGACCTCCTCACGGTGGGATGCACAGAAGCACAAGAGCACCACTAAATTCTTTTTTTTTTTTTTTTTTTTTTTTTTTTTTTTTATGGCGGGTCTATTGAGGGCAATCTCCTCCGAGAGACGCTTTTTTTTCTAGAAGAGGTAAAAGATGCAGTTTGAGATCCTGATAAAGTGCTAACGCGGGAGTCGTTTGCACTGCAACGTGACACTTGCGTCCCGAAATCCCAACTCCTTACCGCGCCGCGATTACCCCCTGGCTGCCTCCAGCCTTCCTGGGGGAACGGCGGGGAGAGGCAGAAGGGAAACGGGGGGGGGGGAGGGGAGAGGGGAAGCTCCAAGGGACAAATGTTTCCACTCGTGCACCGGTATCCGCAGGTCCTTCCCAGGAGCCGGTGGCAATGCCCGGGCTCCCCGGCGTGCCCAGGTCCTCACTCGCCTCCCGCGCCCGTGGGTGCTGCAGCCGCTCCGCGCCCGCGCTGCTGCTGTGACAGCTCCGGCCGCCGCGCCGCGCCCCGCACCCGCGCAGCCCCCCGCGCCCCGGGCTCCGCAGCGGGATCGGTGCCGAGTGCCGTCGCCCCCCCCCCCCCCCCCCACGCCCCCCGCCCTGTCACCGGTGCCTGTTGCTTCGTCCCCCCCCGTCGGGGCTGGGGGGGTTCCGTGCAGCGTCTCGACGGCTCTGGACTGTGCCGAGCCTGTACCTCAGTTTCCCTCGGCCACAAAGCAGGCATTATCACACCTTCCTCCCCCTCAGGGACGCTGCCAGGAAAAATACACTAATTTACAGAAGATGTCCGGGAAGGAGAGATAAGGGACACAGAAAAGCTGCTAAGTGCCAAAGAAACAGTTCTTTCCTTTCCCCTCCCTGTAATAAGATAGCATGGAAGAGAGACTTAAAATCTCAAGGGTTTTTACCTCATTACCAAGTGCCTGACCTGACACTTGCATTAAATCTACATTTCACGTTATGACAGATGTTGTGTTTTCTTTGAACTGAAAGGGAGGAACGTCGTTTTGGCACTCTGAAAGTGTTAACATCCAACTTGAAGAAAGGTTTGCAATTGTGAAAGGACACACTCTACCCTGATATATGAAAGCCATATGAGAGTCTCAAAATGTTGATTTGGCTTACTTGTTCTTTAATACCTTATGCAAGGCTATTTCTGAATCACTGGTGGCAAAGTGGATACTTAATAAAAAGTGAGATTAAAGAGCTATGGTTTGTGGCCAGTTAGCTGTTATCAGAGCCGACCTGGAGAAGAAAGAAAAAAGAAGAAGAAATGGTAATCATAATTGCATTTGCTCAAATTCTTCTCAATAGTGATGATATGGTGTCTGTTTCAGCCTATTAATCTGCAACTGCTTTCACAGATGTTGGGTATTCATTAAAACACTGCTCCCTAATCTGCTAATTCCAGATAAATAAAAAACCTAAACAATATTTTCAACAATAATATGTGGTGAAGTAAGGATGCAACTACTGTCCCTGGAGGATCATAAGGTTCTCAACATTGCCAGCTATGTTTTCAGGGCAAGGGTTTGGTTTGATTTCGTTTTATCCTAGCAGCCTGTGGTCTGTAAACAAGCTGGATAACTTTACACACTTGGAAAGCCCTGGAGACATTGTTAAACTCATTTGCATTTTCTTCAGCTATACTTCCTACCAGTATTGTATCAGTAACTGCATTAAAAATTTATAGTGATCAGAGATGTGGAATATCAAAAAGCCCCCGAAACTGTGCTGTATCATCCTGTGTACTGACTCATTGTCTAAAATGCAGCTCAGCTCCCGACTGCTCAGTTTGGTATTGGTCAGATGAGACACAAACTCAACAAGGTTCAACCTCTAGATACTTCTAAGCAACATGAACAACAGTTATGTGCAGTACAATTATTTTATGTTGTTGTGTGTATGCTTACACAATACTCTGTATTTTATCTGTGTATAAATATAACTAAACAAGATACCGAGCATTCATAAGATATACGGGCCCAGTTCTGTTACTTTTTTTATGCCTGCATGAATCAGGGATGTCTCTGCTGTTGCTTGTCAAGTCACAATAGCGTAAAATTGACATGCTTAAAAGGACCCCTAATTGTGTGTTTTGTACACAGAGACACATGCACACACACACTTATCTTCAAAGACTCTTCAACAACTTGAAATGCAAACTTTCATCTCCAAAGCCAATGTTAGCAATAGCCCTCAAACATTGTGCATGATCATGTTTTCACATAAAATCTACTGTTGATGTTGCGGGATGATCTAACCGCTACTCTTATGACTACAGACAGATTTAGTTTGCTGTGACTGTTTATAACAGACTTTTCCACTGCTTCTCCTCTATCCATACTGCCATCTGCAAAGAGTTTAGGTTTTAAAGGCTGAAATGAAAGCTGCACTGGACGAGCTGTACCTGAAATATTGTTAAAATAATGCATCATAAAACGGGTTCTCAAATTGACTCTCAAACCCGTGAACTCCTGTCAGGGTCAGACTGACCCCACTCAAACAAGTTTTGTAACAAAGTGAATAATGCTTTACACAGGTAGCTCAAGACACTCCTAATATGCAAGATTATTTGTAGGTAATTGTGATATTGAGAAATAGTCACTCCTGTTCTGTTCCCACAGTTAGCGTGTCCCTTACTTACTAGCTCCAATTAGTTTCCATGGTAGCCAGCAGCATCTTTAAGCCAGGGCACCGAGCTTCACTCAGTGTTGCCTAGACTAAAGTCATCACCTTTCCTCCAGCACAGATGGCCTTGGCAGTTTTGTGTGTCTGCGCGCACATATGTACACATTCACACACGTGCAGTTCTGCTCAAGAGCCCCATGTATTTCTCAACTCCAGCATTCACAGCTCTTTAAAGTAATTAAAGGGGATTTTTCATGGTTCTTGCAGTAATCTCAGTCTATCTCCACTGCCAATATGAACAGAATCTGTTTTTTTATTTCTTTGAATCATTATAAATCTACCCTGGATACAATTAGTTTTGGAGTTTATAAAGAAACAGGAGAGATTCTAGAACATGACTATAAATCCACAGGCAAGTCCACGGTCAAATTCTAGCCTAAAATGTACACGTGCAGTGGCTCATATTGAGTTTGGGTGATATACTGATGATTTAATACTGAACCAAATAACAGGTTCAGAGAAGCACAGAGATACACTTCTTCATATGGAGCACAGTGAAGACTTGGAACTCCTTGATGCAAGATGCAGTGGAGGAAAAAAATTACATGTATTCAAGTGTTTGGACAAGTTTATGGGAAAAAAAAGTCTACTCACAGCAATTAAATATTAATACAGAACTGTTGGTACAGGGAGTCCCTGAACTGCCTGGACTGGATCCTGGACAAATATCATTCTGTGTTCATCCTATTCTTATACTTTACCCCAAGCATCTACTGTTTTCGACTACTGGAGTGTGCCAATGCTAGTATACCCATGATTTAGTGTGGTACAGCTGTTCGTTCTTTCTTTCTTAAAAAGAATTTAGCCACTGGTAGTTTTTGGGCCTCATCATGGGTAGTGTAAGAGAGAAGAGTTCCTTTCAAGAACTTCAGCCAAGATTTTTAAAGGTTGGCTCATAAATCTGTATTCAGGAACTTAAGTAAAAATCGTCTGATCAAAAGTATCGAGTATACGGCAGCTGCTACTGAAGTCAGCAGGTAATTTTACTTTTGTAGGCATTCCAAAGACAGACATGGGTTCATGTAAAATTTGGGTGCTAAATCTCAAACTATATTCTGTGTAAAACTCTGCTCAGTTGTTTCCTAACCTGGAGTCACCTAAATTCCACAGACACGTGGTCGTTTAAAAGCATTCCTTTGGCACCTCTGCACATTCCCCCATGCTGAAAGCCCGTGCCCAAGGCCAAGCAAGATTCAGGAGTCAGGCATTCCTTCACTTCAGTCCTCTGAATTGTTTCATTGGGCTCTCAGAGTGCACCTACCAAACTTGGAGAGCTTTGAGTGGCACAGTTAAAGATCAACTCTTCTAAAACCTGGCCAGGGAAGAAGAAACAGGTAACTTGTAAGACATGCAACCGAATACCCACTGGAGTAGCTTTGTCCTCACTGTGCCTGTTCAAACCCATTCATTTGAACATAACATTCCAACAATCATTATTCTGTCTAAAAATATAATAAAGTTAATGTGCGAAAAATACTGAAAGATTCAGTAAGTTGCATACAGTGCAAGTACAGGAAAATGCAGGATTCTGTATCCTAGAAGCGTGGACGCTAGTTCAGGTGTCCCAAAACAATTTCCATATTTTCTGGGGTAACGTATATGAGCATGTACATGTATTCTCTCAGTATGAATCCATACCTATGTTAGGTACAAAAGAACTGCTTTAGAAATGCATTAAGGGTACAGATCCAAACTCACAGTTACCTGCCTGCACATAGCTGCTGTGGGATGGAAGAGTCTAGCCATAAATTTTTAAAGGAAGCTCTCCCGCCCTCCTCCATCTTCCCTGCAATGGAATCAGGTGGTATGGAAGTTATACCCAATAACAATTTATCTCAGGTCTGCAATGCTAAAAATAGTTCCCCTAAGGGATAACTAGAACAGAGGGTAGAGTGCAGGTGAGACAGACAAAAGTTCATAATTGTCTCAGTTCATCACAGGGCTTTACTATTTGTCAGATTGTTGTCATTGCTATCAGTTGCCCCTAGAAGAAGATTAATGGTTGCAATGATAGTCAGTCCCAAATTTATGTTGCTTCACATACATTCCCTCCCAAAATACTCATTCTCCTCAATTACTGTTTCTTCTAAGATATCTCCCTTATTAGTGGTTGCTTAGTAATTTTGTACCAACCAAGGCCACTG